AAAAGACTTATTATGGCTGTCAGAATAGCGCCGAGGAGTCGCCCCACTGCCAAAGGCACTTGTAGTTTGGCCAATTTTATTCGACGCAGTGATACTCGAAAGTTGGCTTTGTAGATCATCGCCAAAGATAAAGTCGGTAATCGGTGTTTGTGTCGAACAAAGCGCGCCGTATTCCCTCTTCAAATGAGGCTTAATCAACTCTCGGCGATGCAGCGACAGGTCGATATTCAAATGCCCTAAAAGCGCCAATGCATCAGCATTACCCGAAACGAGCTCACCCAGAGTTTTCTGTTGTTCAGTGTCTGACTTACTGAGTTTGGTACGCAATTCCAAAAGGGAATCTGTCATTTTAGTCAATGCGCTACCAGCTTTCGTGAGCGTTTTTTGAAAATTTACGATACGTAAATCGGCACTCTTTGTGTTGTGGCTTAAATTCGCCCAAATTTCGGGATTTACCTTAGGGACAAGGAGGCGAGTGCAGTTTGCTGGTCTATTGTATTTTTCCAATTTGGATTTAAATTTTGAATCATCCAGCTTTTCAGCCCAACGCTTGTTGACAATGTCAGCGAGTTTCTCGCTTACGTTTGGCCCTGTGTCATTGCCACTGTCAAACTCTTGAGCAATTTCGCTCAGCAGATTATCATCGGGCTCCGAAATCATTTGCCCATTTGGCGTGTCGCCCTCTCGCTCACTACTTGTTTCGGCAGAGTCTACCGCTCCACATAATTTCTCTGTGTCAGAGATATCGTCGTCAGGCGACTCTTCGGCCGATGACGACTTGCGTCTACGCCGCCGTTTAGAGGGCCTTTCTTGTTTGGCCTCAATGCGTAAAAAACGCTCCAAAACGTCGTCTTTAAACTCTCGGAACATGCTCGCCCACCTATCCTCTGTCGAGTCGACAGTGGTTTTTGTGGGTTCTTCATCATCATTGAGCAATACTTGTTCTTGTTCCGCTGAAAGAATCTCTCCTTCTTCAATATTTGTTCTCGACATTATTTTACAAACTGAAAATACTGTACAAAGATAACTTTTATTTTGAAAAATTTTTCGCTCAGGCTTTGAATGATCTGATCTCACCGAAGGATCATGCACAACTGATCCATCTGGTTCGCGCGCTCTCTCACGTGACTCCGTATAGCGACAATGACCAATGATGAAGCAGAACTGTCTGTGGACTGTAGTGTGAAATATGATATTGTATTTGTAGCCTATAAATGCCTCTTAATGGCGCAATAAGGATAAAAATACCACCGTTCGATTCAGCGTAAGAAATTGTACTTACGGATGTCAAATGTATTACTTAACACCAGTATTCTAGCGATTTATGGCCTTTGAAAATCAAGCGAAATTGCATTGTTGACATCAAATCACTCGCAGTACGTTTGTCCTTGTATTTGTATTTGTATTGCCTAATTAATGGCGCAATAAAAATAAAAATACCACCGTTCGATTCAGCGCAGAGGATTCAGCGCAAGAAATTGTACTTACGGATGAGAAATTGTACCTACGGATGTCAAATAATGTATTACTAAACAACTGACAACAGTATTCTAGCGATTTTTGGCCTTTGACTTTGCCTTTGAAAGGCAAGCGAAATTGTATTATTTGTTGACAAATCGCTCAAATTATAAAAGATGCAGTACGTTTGATCCTTGACCTTGATAACTTTGGTATCATTGTTTTTCTCTTTTTCGGCCGTACACCAGTGGATTCGTCTCACTTCTCTGTTCATTTTCATAATATTTTGAGCCCAAAAGCCCCCAAATATTTTATTTTGAACGTTTTAAACTGGCGGCCGACAGACGAATGTAGCGTACTATAAAATATAACTTTTTTTCTAGGCATAAACGCTCGGGGCCAGGCTTAATTTCCACACCAGGCTAAATACACGCGCACGTAAAACTTTAAATCTGTAAAATAACCAAATAAATAAAGCAACAGAATTTACTGCTCCGCAAGTTTTAGTATGAATTTGTTAACTTATTTGTAAAATATTTAAAAATAGAAGGATTACGCAACAGTGGAAATCGCAACAGTGGAAATCAGCCTTTAGATCTTATCAGTAAGTTTTGCTTATATATATGGCTGTAAATATGGCGTCAATTTTAAAGCATCATTGATAATTGTATTTTAATTGACAATTTTTAACTACAGTAGTATCAACCTCGTCCCCAGGGTCTTCTTCGTGCATGGCGCGTGAAAAATGAGAAGACCCTGGTAAAGGCTGTTCTAAACTGCGTTGTGATTGGTTTATACATTTGACCTTGAATGTGCTTTGAGGATGTTGTTATAATGAATATGATTGGTTTACCGCTAAATAATTCTTGTAATGAGCCCTACGATTGGTTGCATGATTTACAAGGATTTTCACAACAATAATTTGTTTGTAGTAAAATGCATGCTTCGCCAAGGCGCGAAGCTCGTTTCTGGCAAATATTTTCCAACTTTCAGCCTAATATCAGGCACAAGACATCATTTTGGTACTTCAAAGTTGAGACAGCTTATGCTCACATCGTTATCGAAGGTATGAATATATACACACACTGTATGATCAAACAAACCACAGAACCATTTGCGTTTGTGACGTTTAGTTCCTCTCAAATACTACCACTTGTTTAACTAGTACGAAAACCTCTTGTCTGCTTCATGTGACAGTTTAATATCAGTCTCAGATGAATATGCATTTTTATAGCAGAAATAGAGGCACAGAACGATTGCTGTTTGTATAGCTTAATTGTTACATGTTTAAAAATTATAATAATAAAATAAGCAGTTCTTGCTGGGCTCATAGGACACCAGGAAATAATAAAAACGAATCTAAGATCCTATGCAATATTAAAATTTTGGTTATGTCAATAATTTGTGCCACTGCAGCCAACTGCTGGAGCACAGCTACTTGAATTTTCCACAAGAATGGATGCCACTGACCACCAAGAATGGATGCCACAAATGGAACATTTAAAATATATTCAACATAACTATAAAATTATTTTCAGTTAAATCTAGCATTAGTGTTACACTGTAAATCATCCATAATTATCACAGGTGTACAGAGAGTACACTTTTCAACCCCCTCCCACAGCGACTTAACCGATGAATATTGGTTATGAACCCGCCTACCTGAAGCATATAGTTTGTACACTTCAGGAAATGTTGGTAGTTCTGGACAACCCATAATTGAATTTCATTAGCCTTTACATCATTGTGAATTACCATTTGCATGCATGTAACACTAACAGCATGATCTTTATTCCATACCATATAGGAAAAATTGAACACATCTGTCCTGCAGAGCTAGTACAAATTTACATTAGCAACTATTGAATCAGTGAGGGAGGTATAATAAAGCAAGTGTTTAAATAAATGCAGCCAAATCAAAATTGTTTGTCTCCACACTACACTTCCTCATCAATGGACAGCTCAATGAGAACAAATGTTGTGGACAACTGTGGTTTGGACATTGCAGGCTGGCTGCACATTTTGCAATGATGTACATGCAGGAGATCGGTTGTTGAAGCATGAATGAAATCGATTTCAAAAAAGCTCCAAGGCTTACTTTATGAGAATGGGTCATTCCAGAAAACATCCATACCACCCCCACAGAGGAAATAGGAAGTTAACCCCCTTCAGATGTCCTAATACATTTACTATTATCAGAAACAATTTTTTCTCCCCTCCCCCTCCAGACGGCAGAAATTTCCTCCATCGGGGAGTATGGATCTTTTCTGGAACGACCCAATTCATTTTCCATATGAGTGAGAGTTCCTATCAGCCGCATGTGAGGATGCATATTACCACCTCTTTTCTTTACCCTTGCACAGTACAGAGAAGGAAAAACAAAGACCAGATTTTGAACCAAGTAACTTTGTTATTTAACTTAAAACAGCACTGTATATAACTTTAAATACTGTAAAAAATGAAATATCAGCTAAATACTAATTCAGTAAGAATTGTCTTGGTATGGAAATATCTTGTTCTGTTGTATATGCATTGTTGAATTGCCATGTCACTTTCTTGAGTATTACCAGAATATTAAGTATAGTTGAGCCAGCTTCCTAATATTATGGAATCTAGGATAGTTGTTGACTTTGCAGTTTTCTTAATAATCTCATATTAGCAACATTCCTAGATGCGAAGACTAACAGCATTCCCATCCCCATTAAGTTGTACATATACAGTTGCAGTCTTCTTGACAGTTCTTGTTTTATCCATATTGAAATTTGAGAAGCATGAATATCTAAAATATAATACAATTGATTTGCATTTCATTTCACAAACTGGAAACCTAAATCTATATGTTACACTAAATCTATCCAATTAATTTATTAACAGTAGATTTATTTCTAATTGAGAGAGAAACATACTTACATAAGTTACATTTGAACAAAACTATCTCTAAACTGGTTGGCAATCTTTTAGTTTTACTGATTCACCATTCAGTGCACAATATAAACTCACAATACAAATGAAATTTCTGCTGTCTGAAAGGGGATGGGGAAATGCACTTTTAGAATGGTAAAATGTACTAGGATGTGTAAAAGAATTTATGGGAGTTCTAATCTGTATGAGAGCTGTGGATCTAAGGCAAATTATTCCACATGTAGGCACTTTGCATGCTCCAAGGGAATAAACTATAAATTACAGTATTATTATATACTAGAGTATTTATTAACATGCGATAATTTTTAGTCAAAATAACTTAAACAAGTGCCAACGTTCACAGTGTAAAATGGATATGAGTCTATGGCCCACTAGTAAATTTTCATTATCAAATTATAATTTCTCAAAACTAAGCGCTTTAAAAAAATACTTTGTAGGCATATTAGCACCAGTCATAGGGCCATTATATGTTGAATTATAATATAAATAACAATAATATATTGTAGTTTTTCAATTACCTTCACAGTGACAGTGTTGTCAGACTGCCAGTGCAAGCAGCCGTGAGACATGACAAACAACGCGAATTCTTCGGCCAGGAAGATAAAAATTAGACGTGCTAGCTTCTTGTTACTTTCTCTCTCTAGACATCTTAATTTTTGAAGAGAAATTACTTATCTAGAGGTATATTTTAGCAAAAAAATACATTTCCAAAGTGAAATATTTCATCTCAAGAAGGCCATGAAAAATTTGGACGCCAGCAATGAATTGGTCAGCGCCAAGGCAAATTCGCTTTTGCGCATGCACTAAAATGTCCATGAATCGTGGAGATTTTCACAGCCTTTACCAGGGTCTTCTCATTTTTCACGCGCCATGCACGAAGAAGACCCTGGGGACGAGGTTGCAGTAGTATCAGTATTTTGTTTCTCTATCAGCAGATGCACTTAAAAAGGTCGCTAACTCTATAAACTAGAGAATAAAGCTAAAACAAAGTAATTTTGAGAGGAACGCCAAAAGGATTTTAGGTTTTGAACACTTTTCATTGCAATTAGGCCTACGTGACATTGAAAAAAAATGCCTTCCAAATAAAACTTAAGCTAAAGTTAGAAATATAGCAAGCAATATATGATTCTGTACATGCATGCCACCACAACATATACATATACAATCAGATTTGTTCTGTGTAGGATTCCTTACAGCTCTACTGATATTTTTTTTTTAAACAATTAGAATTGATATAGTTATATAATATTTAATTATTTGGCAAAATCGTAAATTATCATGTCCACGTTTCGCCTGTCAGTATTCCGCCAACCCAGCCCGGAGCAAGTTTCGTTATAAAAAATTCCGTGACAGGATTCATCTTACCAGATCCGGCAATATAACGTCTACTTGGGACCATAATGTTCTGAAGCCATGTAAAGAAAGCCAGTTCTCTTTTGTAGATGAATTCGTGTTCTGTGCAGTTACTCCAGTAATATGAACTAGGACGACCAAAAACTTTGTTCAAACATGGTGATTTTCTTTTATTCTCTTCACGAACATGATCAACCAAGTGAAAAGGTAATTTATTATCAAAACGCTCGTTTTGGTCCAATTGGTCCTCCCATATTTCCTGGTAAAATTGAAATATCTTGCTGAAGACGGTCAACTTGTCTGGTATGATTTCGTCACCCTCCCATGGCATGAGGACTACTGATAAAGTATTGCTACCTTCATTCCCACTGCACTCCTTGCCTATAAACACAAAAAATGCGGATTAGTTATAGGGACCGGTCATTATTTATAGTGTGTGTGTGTGTGTGTGTGTGGGGTGCAAGCACCGAAGAAAATATTTTTCTTCATATGCATTTTGCCGATTCAACCATTAAAAAGTCAAAATATTTTTTTTACCCAACCTTAAATATCAATTAAAAATATACAGTAAATACCCACCCCTGGCCAAAAACTTTACAAAAGGATACCGTTCAGTTGTCACATGTCCTTTACCACTTCTTTGACATGAGTTTGATAACTGCTTGTGCAATTTTCATGTTGTCTGCACGTGTGCTTTCTTTGGAGACACCATTTGCCTGCTGACAACTCGGAAAATAATCAACAATCTTTGACAATATACAGGGTGTATCAAAAAAAGCGCAATCCTCGACTGAAATGTAAATTGCTAAACAAATAATAGACGAAAACGTTAAAGTTTACATTCATTTTAAAGCGTAGCCATTCAGCTTTCTAACAGTGGGTTGTTTCTTAAATTTGACTCATTGGTTCGCGGGTAATAATAATTTACGTTATTGCGATTGGAGATTAAAAAAATTGAGATGGAATAACAAATCGTTCTCATGAAAATAACTGATTTTTCATTAAAACAAAAAAATGTTGCATTTTATTAAATGGATTGTAACAATAAGTATAATTACGGCTTTTCTTCCACTATTTTTAACTCAGTTTGAAACTTCAAATGCGACATAATTTTGGCTTGGACCATCTAAGCTGACTGACATCAACTTGCTATAATTTCTGCTTACATTACATCGCAATTCGATGACACTCTGGCTCAGACACCAGAATGTTTTGACGATTTTAGCATTCGTTTAGGATTTTCAAACAACCTGGTCTCTTTTAAAATACTTTTAATTTGTTCTTACGTGGTTTTCCAGATGTAGTGACGACAACATTAAAGTTTAAAGAAGAAAATTCTAACATTTAAGCCGACTAAACAATAACATATAGTAAACTTGCATAATTAAACAGCAACTAAAAATGATAGGTTTTACTAAATCTTTTCCTGTGCAATTATTGCTAGCATTGGAGACCAGGATAATAGTTTGTTTGAAAGAGAAAAGAACAGGCTTTGAAGTAAGCCTAAAAGCGTTTAACTAGAAATAGTATTTCGAAAGTTATTAAGCACAAAAGATGAATTGCGTTTATTTTGATACACCCTGTAGATTGGGACAATCTAGTTTTCACATGCATTCGGTTGTAATATACCATTTCCTGATACATATTTTCCACCCTCCCTCTCCCCACCCGTTTCAATGTTGGCGCCGCGTATCCAGACATCAGATTTTTGTTGGCCCAACATTGAACTGGGGGAACGGGGGGGGGGGCGCTATTCCTTTCAAATTATATGAAATTACAGCAGCTGTCCCATAGTTTCTGGCAAAGATTGTCTTGGTGGTGATCAATGGTCTTTGGAATTTGGTAATTAAACGTTTTAGTTTTAAGTTTATACCGCCCAATAACATTTATTCCAGTATCGAAGCATATGTGGGCAAGTTTTGGTAGTTTTGCATACTATCCATTTATTCCGGGGTGTGTGTGTTATTTTTAACACTTTATATACCAATACAGGTACGTGTGCTACTAGCTATAATGCTTAATAAGCACGTTTATATTCACGTCTAATATCATCATAGCTCTCTTCTTTGTGAAAAATCCGCGGAAATTTACTCAAAAGTTACATGCTGTCTTTGGAATGATGCAAAAGACCATAATTACGACGAACCTGGAACCGAACTATTCAGAAATGATCGGTTTGTGAGTCGAGTAGGTTTAAATCTCATCTCACAAAATATCAAACTGCGGGAAGGACAAATAAATATGCATTGTTTTCGCCTTTTACAAACTTATACTTGAGAACTGGGGCCATTTCCAAGCTAAATTTCATTTGCAGTATAAGATTTATAGCACAGTTCATAACGCAGCCAGTAGCCAAATTTCATACGTCTCATATTACACGAAGCTCACCAACGATTTTCGGTCTAAAACGCTGATTTGCGTTACTATAAATTTTACTTATCTTACATTTTATATGCTTACGGGTACAAGAAACCATTTTCCTTAATTACAATCGGTTAACTTTGCAGATATCCCTTTTTAAGTTCGTTTTTGAACGAAGCTCACTACAAAACTGTAAATAAATCTATATCTCATTGGCTATTTTATGACAGAAAGTGAGAATTGTTGCTAGAAAATCATTCGTATCTTAGTTCGTTACGAAAACTTGGAAAATCGTCCTATCTTGTAAAATATGTTGTATTTTAGATGCCTAGGTTGAATTTGTTTCATATTGTCTCCTATTAAGGCTTTTATCACGTGTGAGCCCATGAAAATATGGTGAGATTCGTGGTGAGATTCGTTTCTATATTGATCTCATTGTCACATATACGCGCTTAGTTATACTAACAAGATGGCTCAGTTGTCAATTTTCTTTAAATAGAGTTCCAATGCTGTTACCATGCATGGAATTCAATGAATTGTGACTAAAATGTAGCACTACAAGCATCTAATTCTGATTTTAAATATACGTGATGTTTCAGCCCGATTTTAGCTATTTCCTAACACACGCATACGCAAACATTGTATAACACAGCATACACGAAAATTATCCGTGTGCAACGAAATTGCTAGAGGACTAAAAGAGGTGAAGAAATTATGAAAATATAACTGCGTACACAGCTTCATGATGTCTACAAGTTGAATTAAGTTAAATTTAAGAGTAATGGTATTACTTACTTGTATTAAGATAGGACGATTTTCCAAGTTTTCGTAACGAACTAAGATACGAATGATTTTCTAGCAACGATTCTCACTTTCTGTCATAAAATAGCCAATGAGATCTATAGATTTATTTACAGTTTTGTAGTGAGCTTCGTTCAAAAACGAACTTAAAAAGGGATATCTGCAAAGTTAACCGATTGTAATTAAGGAAAATGGTTTCTTGTACCCGCAAGGATATAAAATGTAAGATAAGTAAAATTTATAGTAACGCAAATCAGCGTTTTAGACCGAGAATCGTTGGTGAGCTTCGTGTAATATGAGACGTATGAAATTTGGCTACTGGCTGCGTTATGAACTGTGCTATAAATCTTATACTGCAAATGAAATTTAGCTTGGAAATGGCCCCAGTTCTCAAGTATAAGTTTGTAAAATGCGAAAACAATGCATATTTATTTGTCCTTCCCGCAGTTTGATATGTTGTGAGATGAGATTTAAACCTACTCGACTCACAAACCGATCATTTCTGAATAGTTCGGTTCCAGGTTCGTTGTAATTATGGTCTTTTGCATCATTCCAAAGACAGCATGTAACTTTTGAGTAAATTTCCGCGGATTTTTCACAAAGAAGAGAGCTATGATGATATTAGACGTGAATATAAACGTGCTTATTAAGCATTATAGCTAGTAGCACACGTACCTGTATTGGTATATAAAGTGTTAAAAATAACACACACACACCGGAATAAATGGATAGTATGTAAAACTACCAAAACTTGCCCACATATGCTTCGATACTGGAATAAATGTTATTGGGCGGTATAAACTTAAAACTAAAACGTTTAATTACCAAATTCCAAAGACCATTGATCACCACCAAGACAATCTTTGCCAGAAACTATGGGACAGCTGCTGTAATTTCATATAATTTGAAAGGAATAGCGCCCCCCGTTCCCCCAGTTCAATGTTGGGCCAACAAAAATCTGATGTCTGGATACGCGGCGCCAACATTGAAACGGGTGGGGGGAGGGAGGGTGGAAAATATGTATCAGGAAATGGTATATTACAACCGAATGCATGTGAAAACTAGATTGTCCCAATCTATATTGTCAAAGATTCAATCTTTGACAATACAGATTGGGACAATCTAGTTTTCACATGCATTCGGTTGTAATATACCATTTCCTGATACTGGGGGAACGGGGGCGCTATTCCTTTCAAATTATATGAAATTACAGCAGCTGTCCCATAGTTTCTGGCAAAGATTGAAGATCGATTCAATGATTGACATATTGTATTGACATATTGCTTTTTAGTCTTCGACATTTGAGTGAGCCATATATTCTGGAAATAACAATAAATTTTTATTACCCAACCCCTGAGTTGTTTTGTTTTTCATTTACCCAACCTTTTACTCACTCAAAATTTTGTTTACCCAACCCTTTTCTCTTCGGTTCCACTCCCGCCATAAATTTAAACATACGTATGTCAAGCCTCGAATTTCCCTGAAATCAATCGACGGCAATGGCGTTAAAAATTGTCGTAGATCGTAACAGCTGTGTACGGCTAATTTGGCAAATTATACTGTAATAAAACTTCAATATTATTGTTATACTTTGGATTTTGAACAAGCTAGAAACATGTTTACGTATATTTCTTTAGTGTTTTTTTTCGAAGAAAACTGAGTCTAAAATAGTAATATACGCATGATTTGATCAACATCTGAATTCAAGTATCAAAGTGGTAATGCACATGCAACGCAATGATCCACGGCATTTTGTTCTCCCTCTACGGCAATTGCCGCAATAAAATTCGAGCCCTAATGTATGTATAATACTATATGCCATATATTACAGATCCTTACCACATTCAAGTCCAAATTCCTTTATACCTTCTTTCATGTGAATTAGGATATCTAAAGATCTACACAGGCCTTGCAAACGCTTTGTGTCGAAAGCCATTGGATCTAAACCATCTGGAACGACTACACCACATTTCCACATTGAAGGAAAAGGACGGATTACATAAGCATCCTCCTGATCAACGTTTCGAAAATAACAAGCCCTTGGCGAAAAAGGAAAATAATTCATGACTGATCTATCAAATGTACTTCTGCCAATAGTTCAATAAATTATAAAACTACAGGACAAATTCTTGTCCGATGACAAATTCTTGTCCGATAATTCGACATAAAAAAAGCATTCGAAACTTGTAGCTTTTCTGATCCAAAACTGCAAAACACTAGGGCGATTTCCGCTGATATGCATGCCTCCTGACAAATAATAATAATTAACTACTAACTGTATATTTTACAGGTTAGCTTGGTCAGCTATACCAAGCTGCTATTCATTCTCGTTCCCGGGGCTTCAGGCAGCCGAGAAGCCCTGGGAACGAGGATGGCTGCTATTATAAATCAAGGGCCTGGTGCTTATAAATTAAAGTGGACGTCCAGAGTTCGTCCAGGTCAGGAAGAGTTTAATTCAAGGACGTTTCAAGGACTTTCAAAGTCATGTATCAAGAAATTCAAGGACTAAAGGCTGAAAAGAAGGTGTTAGGAATCAGCAAAAAGTGACGTTAAACTGTGAAACGGCAACTTTAATGAATTGCAAACAGCTTTGGCCCAATTTGTAAGAAATGAACAAAATCAACTTACAAAATGTCCAATTCTTAATGCCAAACAATTTCAGAAAATGTCCACTAATAAAAGCAAGAACAATTTAAATACTGTACTTTCAAGCACTTCTTTATAAACTCAAGGACTTCAAACCTTGAATTTTTGTTTCCAAATTCAAGGACGTTCAGGGATTTCATATACGTAATTTCCATTGGTTTAAAAAGTGACACGTATTATTGGACAGTGGTGTGGTTTGGACTTTGTGAGTGGGGGAAGGTGAAGCATCCCAATTTTACTGACTAAATGATGAACTTATCATACAACGTTTTAAGTTTAGCAGGCAGTACATAAAGATACCCACTTCATTTGGGTTTGTAATGGCGCAAATTCATCGATCCTTAAATTTCCTGTTATAGTAGCTTGCTTAAAAGTCAAAACTGTAAAAGCTGGTGTTTCAAATGACGATATCGCGTTATATCGCGTTATAAGCTTAAAGTCAATTAAACATTATAAAACCTGATTCCTGATTCTATATGTACAATTGTTAAGCCGGTTTTTCAGTTCAACCGTACCGTACCGAAAAGTATCAAAAACGTTTTTAAATTTCAAAATTTCGTGAATTTTCGTGAACTTCCGCAGTACGCCAAAAAGTTGACTTGCGACAAATTTTTCATTTTGATACGCGAATACACCATGAAGTACGTGGATTTATAAACCTCTTTTCAATCTGCGCATGCTCCCCAGTACGTTTCGGCACGGGCGAAGTGGAAAACCGGCTTTAGACTCATGGAGCTGGCCGATATATTCAATATTCATGTTAAAAAATTTACCGACGATAGTTAAGAGTTTACCGCAAGCATTCTATCAATTGACTAATTTACAAACTGGTTCACTGAAAAGTGGAGGGGGTGTTATTACGGATCTCACCGAACTGTGGCATCACATCAAAAATTTGTATCGCCGCCACTCCCACAAACGTATACGACCGCACCTACCTACATATTTTTGCATGTTTACAATTCAAAACAGCCAATCCGGTTCTTGGTAACAACTACATTATTAAACGTCGATTGGCTGTTTAAAATTAGAATTGTAAACATGCAAAAATGCGTATAGGTGTGGTCATTGACGTTTGTGGGAGTGGCGGCGATACGAACTTTTGATGATTCCAGGTAACGATATATAGTTCTTGGATAAAATGAAAACTTGTATACATTGACACACAACTGAATTTGGCGGTAAGGACAGATATTAGGCAGCCTGGATGCTCTAGTCAGAGGACACAGGTCATCAGGAAGACTGATTCCAACAATTAAGGCCTTCAGTTGATGGATTTAATCATGCTTATCTACTGTATATTAAAGTGCCTATGACACGAAATTTAACCCCAAATGTTTATGACTGCATTGTAAACTAAGATCACTTAAAATGACTTAATAATTTCTTTTATAGAATTTTGGTAACTTGCTTCCTTTGCAAGATATTCAACTTTGTTTCATATGCAAATATCACCGGTGTGACATCACATCGCATAATGACATTTTGAAAACGCAATACTTTACCTTGATAAAATATTTTTACAAACAAATACAGAGGGTTAATAATTAGCTGTTATGAAGTTAATACATACAAGGGCAATCTTTAAGTTTTTTAGATACGTATTCGTCAAGAAATCTATACTTTTCTGAAAACGCATTATGTGATGTGATGTCACACCGGTGATATTTGCATATGAAACAAAGTTGAATATCTTGAAAATGGAGCAAGTTACCAAAATTCTATAAAAGAAATGATTAAGTCATTTTAAGTGATGTTTACAATGCAACCATAAACCTTTGGGGTGAAATTTCGTGTCATAGGCACTTTAAGGACACCAAATGCCAATGATTACCAAACGTCTGGATGTGACCACTTATATAATGAACCTTCTAATTTCTCAATATCACTTTCGACAGTTAAATCAAAACTCTCCTTGATAAATTCCTTCCAGAAGTGTAAATCCGATAGCTGAGCCTAAAAATTGACAAAATATTCTGAGCTAGTTAATCAAATATTTATCAAAAATAATATTTTTAAGTGACATGAGGTCATACAGTAAATTAATGATTTCAACTAATTTTTGCTAAATTTCAAAGGGATTGATTGGATATTTAACCAATGCGCCCAGATGGCATTATGCGCCCACTTCAAATATTTATCAAAAATAATATTTTTAAGTGACATGAGGTCATACAGTAAATTAATGATTTCAACTAATTTTTGCTAAATTTCAAAGGGATTGATTGGATATTTAACCAATGCGCCCAGATGGCATTATGCGCCCACTTCAAATATTTATCAAAAATAATATTTTTAAGTGACATGAGGTCATACAGTAAATTAATGATTTCAACTAATTTTTGCTAAATTTCAAAGGGATTGATTGGATATTTAACCAATGCGCCCAGATGGCATTATGCGCCCACTTCAAATATTTATCAAAAATAATATTTTTAAGTGACATGAGGTCATACAGTAAATTAATGATTTCAACTAATTTTTGCTAAATTTCAAAGGGATTGATTGGATATTTAACCAATGCGCCCAGATGGCATTATGCGCCCACTTCAAATATTTATCAAAAATAATATTTTTAAGTGACATGAGGTCATACAGTAAATTAATGATTTCAACTAATTTTTGCTAAATTTCAAAGGGATTGATTGGATATTTAACAATGCGCCCAGATGGCATTATGTGCCCACTTTATTATTTTACTCTGTCTAACGCCAGACGATTTTACTCGCCAGGGGGAGAGTGCTGCCACTCAATGGGTTAATCAGACTAGTGCCCATGCACCCAGCTGTTAACCCTTTAAGTGGAAATGTGCCCAGATGGCTAAATGGGTTAATGTATTCTAGGATTGGGGAGGTGGTGTTCATTTCCATTAGAAAATTACAATTTTAATCTGGAAAATAATTTATTAGTCTGGAAAATCTGGCTCGCTAAAACAAACTGGGGGGCACATGATCCATATCCAATGAATATAACTGGAACGCTGCCTTCAACCAAAAATTTGACGCCAAACTTGAAGGCCAGTTCCAGTCTTTTCACATGTGTGAAGAGCGCGCAATCAGTCGACTCAAAGATTTTGGCTTTCGGAAAAATATAGGCAGTTTATCTGAAGGTAGCGTTCCAGTTATATTCTTGCCAATGGTTCCAACACCCAATTGGGGTGGAAGCCTGGGGGGATGGGGGTGCATGTTAATTACATTTATTTAGCATATTACCAGGTCTCTGGGAAGACTTTAACCCTAATTTTCCTGCCTGCAGTGCAAGTCCTCCCACAATTAAAAACCCCCGGCTGCTATGCATGCTAGTTACCATTAGTAAAGCATTATTTAATAAAACAGTCACAATATAAATCCCCTAGCACACATGTAACAAGGGTACTATATAATTCCTCCGCTTGCAGTTGTTCCATGTATTCCTAGTAAACATGTAATTTGCATTACTTGCCATAGTCAAATTATAAGACCTTTCCAATTCTGTAATCTGTTGTCATTTTATACTTTATGTTGTACTGTTTACTGTAGCAGCTACCATAAATTGGCAAATTAATCATTTTTATCATTCCCTGTATGTTCACACATAAAAGTTGCAAAATCTGCTGCTACAGTACATGATACAGAAAGAAATGCAAAACAGACTGTGCACTCATGAAGCGGAAGTTTCAACCATTGGCACTTTTGCAGGTTCTCGTGTCTTGGCTATATAAATACCAGTATTATGCACCTATCATTGTTTTCCCCCTGAGGGGGGGGGGGGTGCGGGCAACCCAGGGGACTTTGACCACACTATGAAGCACCAGGGAGGGGAATTTGACCTATGCATCAACTCCCAGAGTCGGGAAATTTTGACATCCGCCATCTTGAAAAATTTGCGCGGTTTTGACATTAAAGGCCTGGTAACAAGTATGGCGGAGAACCACGATCAAGTTTCGTCGATAAAGGTATTTTATACACAGTGTCTCAATTTTTACCAAGTTTAAACCAGTATAGACTGTATGTTCGCATTGGAAAACATATGTGTGCCTTGTTATCTTAGGAAATATAGTGGGGAATTTTGACAGCCGTTCCTTGCCCAACAGTGGGGATTTTGACAACAAAATTTTAAAAATGTCAAAATTCCCCTGGGTGCCCGCAACCCCCCTCAGGGGGAAAACATTGATAGGTGCATTAAAGGAACAAAGAATAGGACAGACATGCCCCTTGATCATGTTTATTGTTGATATCATACAGTATATCATATGCAGTTGCAACAATAATATTGTTTGTAATATTCTACGGTATAATAATAATTTATTAGTCTATTAAAATACTACATGGAGAAAACAACAAATATAATAATATACATTTGATTAATAATGAACTTTAAATAACATTTTAATACCTTCCAAGACTTACAAACTTGCATACATCGAAGAACGTCTCGTGTTTGAAGCCAGTTAAATATAATTTTATACGGCACATCGAAACGTAATGACATTGCAGATTCTTCAGACATAACTTACGTAACGCTTTATTAATCCTTGCCGCGAAATTTGTAAAATATAATTGTAATTTT